CACTTCCTCATTAGATTGCAGAATCAGAGGGCGATACCATAATGTTTGCAACAATTAAAAAAGGCCAAATGGCAGGACATTGAATCTAATCAAAAAAGCAGTACCACAACATTTGTGGGTTAGCACACAAGAGACTAAGGCATAGCAAGTCATATACTTGGTATTAGGGATAGAAATTGGATAGATGCGGCGGAGACTGGATCTAGTTGGATGACAGTAGGTTTTACCATACACGTGGTCGATGTAGCAAAGGCTTGACGATGAGATTTACTCAGAGGCTTGAGCCTCGAATTAGCAACTCAGACGCAGTGTGCGAGTAGCCTCGAGTAGCACAGATGGGGTGACAGGGGTCGAGTGAAATACGTGAGCCAGGGAAATAGCAGACGGATCTAACGAGGCAATACAGAGACTGTTATAAGACCTAGGGAATGAGGAATGCGTAACAATATGGCAGACTCTGATCAACATTTCCAGCACAAGGGTGAAGGGGGAGAGAACGACAGCGTGGAGTGTGAAGGGTTTTCATGAATGCCTCTCAAAGGAGCACACCACACTACATCTAAATAAGTAAGGTAAAAATTGTAACAGTAAAGGTGTGATAGGAGGATATAGGAAATGTGAATAGCCCAGGGCATCAGGGGAGATACCACAACTGTTTAGCAAACGTTTGATCAAAGGATCGGCTTCACTTGTCTCTTTAAGGAGTTGTTGTGTGGTGCTAAGAATGGCGATACTCACTGACGATGCCAACGAAACGTCTGGGAAAGCACCACGTCCACGGTCCGACTTTGGAAATGATCACGCATACAATGGACTCCGGACTAGGTGCGTTCCTCTAAGTCTTCCCACCAATATGAGCAGGTTGGGAAAACAAGGTTAAACAAACTCTATACAACAAAAGAAGACTGCGACCACACAAAAGGCCACACCATATTAGTCTTCATACCTTCAAAAAGGATTCAAAGTTGAATTTTCCCAAATAAAATGAGTTTTATGTGCAATTTCATTAAAATTTTCATAGCAATGCGCCTCAAAGTGTTTTTCATCTTGGATGGGTTGTGACGCACTAGCAACCGTGGGTGTTTGGTGAAGTAATAGTGTTTCTCCTTGATGTGCGTGACCCGATTTCAAGTTATGTTAAGGGTGCTAATGAGACATGCTGGGTCGGAACGGAAATCAAGAAAGCAATTTGTAAGACAAAACTATGTTCGGTTATTACGTTGCTTTGGACAAAAGTAACAGCAAAGACTTTTTTATGAATTGATCAATTGCATAAATAAGCCTCTGCAGAAAGGAAATTCGTATCTAGGGTCCAATATTTATAGACAGAATTAGTGATTAAACCTAAAGAAGTGCGATGCAATTTTGCAGCATAAAGACATGTCGCAAGTGGAAGAAAACAACTGGTTTGAGAAGGCGCTTCCAAATAAGCTAAGCTAACCTGCAATTAACAAAGGCAAAGTCGTCCAAATGGGAAAGGGATTATAGAATGCAACGAAACCCAACGCTTTTACTACAACAATTGATACTGCGGCTATTTTTACCACTAGTCATAATATTAAAATTAAAATTAGAATGATAATATAATTCACAAAAGCATTTTATTCTTCGTATTTAGGATGAAAGCCAAAGGATAAGCTTATGCAGTTCTGGCTCGAAGAAATCTATTTGTAAAGCAAGAATATAGTTGATTTTTCCAGTGTTTTAAGGAAATTAATGTAATTTTAGCTAACATGTCGCAAAATATTAGGTTTTACATTAAGGGCAAGCAAACAGTGAATTAAAAGATGCAATTATCAAATACGTCTAATTAAGGGACATTCTATAATCTAAGGCCATTTGAATACTAGAAGAGGGTTAAGTGTCTCGACTATTATATCCATTTATGGATTTATATATGAGAAAAATAATTTTTAAATTCAAATAGACGTCAACAGCATTCAAATTTGAGTAACATAAAATTTCATTGGAGGAGCAATGAATAACTCAATTGAAATCAGTTCGGTTAAGTCATAACTTAATGTAGAAAACGACTGAGTGAAAATCTTTTCGATTAAGCGTAACTTTGTAAGTATTGATATCGCAACTTACGAAGCTAGTCTTTGACAAAATAATATTTACTAGAAGTGTGTCAAGTATCAAGAGGAAGACATTATTATTATTAAGCTTCCATCTAAACGGATAATGATAACTAAACAGTTATACAATTTCCACCTAACCTAAATCAGGAAATATTTAAGTGGCAGCAAAGTTAAGCCCAATTACCAGCAAGTGCGTGCTTCGACGGTGAGTAGACAATAGCCATAGTAGTAAGATAGATATTGAGTACGCCATAGAAAGCAGAGAACTCGACTGTCGACCGATACCAAGGGGCCGTTATGTCTGCTTGGGCCGAAAACGATGAGGTCACTGTGCTGTCGGTTTCGATGGAGGCAGTAGTCGAGGTAATAGAATTGTGTCTGCGAAGAAGGTAGTCAGCGCCAAATCGAATAGCAGCTATACAAAAGCTCGTTATTATCACAAACACTGCTAGTCCAGTTATGAATTTCAAACGTACATCTGGACCAGGGATTGAGATAGAAGCAAGATAAGTGAAGTAGGACAAATGATAATTCAGAATCGTTATATATTGAAATTTAAAGTCAAGTAATAAACATATTTAATATTTCAATAATGCCACAGATACTAACTGTAGTAAAGTAGTTTAGAAGCCTAGAACTAGAAAAAGCATAAATAGCAACAAGCTCAAATGCAGATGA